ATTTAAATGCATCATCCATGATTGCCATATCTTTCTGAATCCTGTTCTTTTACTATCCTCTCTTAATGTTTTCTTAGTCTCTCTCACTCTCAGTAACCCCTTGTGTCTTATCACCTTGCTTAGGATAAAATGATTAAAAAATAAAATAAAAATAAAACTTAGGTACCTACTGCTAGTTACAGAAGCTAGCTAATATCTCCATGATGTTTCTCTGAATTTCTACCTACAAATTCACTTTTGTCAGAATTGTTATTGTTTATACTATAAATTCTATAACACTGAAATCATAAAATGTCATTAAATGGCACATGGCCTTATTAGAATAAAAGATTTTCATTATTTGATTTATATTTTATGTGCTAATTTTATTATATTCTTTTATTTGTTACATGTTAAACTAAATGATAGTTATGAAATCCAAAAGCACTTTCATGTTAGTATTTTAAAAAGCAAGTGTGCTTTTAAAGAATATATGATAAGCATCTAGAAAATAGAAACAAGTGTTTCTTAAAAGAAAACAATTTCTATTGGCACCAGAAACTTGTTTCAATGTATTTATAAACCAGATAATTTGCATCTGGATCTTATCAGTTAGATACCTTAAAAATAAGAAAAATAATATAGCAGATGTATTATAAGATTATTCTGAAATAATCAAAAATAAAATTTGAGTCTTTCTTGAGTCTTTCTAAACAATACAAGTCAATTTTATGCTAAGATTTCCTGAATTTCACTAGATATCAAGTATATCTTCCGATTTCCTTTGTGATTCCAAACCCAAAGGTTAGTAAATCACAATTTAAGCTAAATACTTTTCACCAAGCTGATATTAAAATCTTCCTGTAAAAAATGGATACAATACTATATTAATTTGTTTGTTTTATGGCATATTAACCTCAATGGGTTAATATTAATTTGTAATAAATGTAGATTTACATATCAGTGTAAATCAGTAACAAGCCGCATATACTTAATAATAACCTATTTGAGCACTTTGATGTGATGTAATGCTTAGCATGCTTGTCTTGCTAGATTAATTACAACTGGTTGTATCCTTACTGGGGGTTCCATACCACACCTAAGAGATGTTTTGAAAAATCACCATAAACAGAGTGAAGAAATTGAAATGTTTTTCAGGCTCATGCTTGTAAAATATACAATATTCGAACATTTTACAAAGAAACTTGACTAAAAACAATTTACATTATATTTAGAAAAACATTTTTTTTTTTTTTTAATTATTTCTGCTTTCTAACAAGTATTTATAAAATACTTTTAAGATTTTAAAGATTACATAAAATTAAAAAAATTATTGGAGTATAACACTAAAATATACATGTACTATAAAAAAATTTATATATGAATACAAATTAAAAAAGGAAATGCAACATCAGAGTTAGACTATATTTTCTAAGCTTTTTCAGAAATGTGCTCATCTTAGACACTATAACAGCAACCTCCCCTCCTAATGATAAAACATGAAAAAGCACTTTTGACATGACCTCACCTAACCCTGGATATGGCGAATTATGAAAAAAAAAAAAAAAAAATATTGATTCTCATGAGTTATCAGAGACAGAGAAAATTATATTTCAATGATGATATATCCTGCCGAGTCTGGCACAAAACAACATTCTATAGAGTTACAATTGAGTATTACACTATCAATAGTACACATGATCAATGTTACCATAAAGAAGAGCTTAAAAGATGGACAAAAACCTGATAAACTAATTAAATAATTCTATTTCCTTTAGATCAATTTTACTACAATCAATAATGGGTAGAGAAAATTCTCAAGTAAATTATTTTTCTTTTTCATGGAGCAATAAAATTTGAATTTAATATTATAAATATTTTAAGTTTTTTTCTATGCTAAGAAAACAAACAAATGCACAAAAAAAATTTCCAAATTAATGACCAATGGTACTTTAAACCCTTATAGCCTAAATTCTAAAAATAACCTAAATTTATAATTTAACAATATAAATCGGCAGTAGTAGATTATTAGTAACAGATAAGACTAACTGCAGAATACTATTTGAAATCTTAAATTAAAATTGAAAAATTTAAAAAATAAAATACATGATTTTTCTTTTACTAATTTGCATTATCTCCCTTGTTTTAAAGATCAACACAGACAATGATTCGACCGAATCAACTTTGAAAAGTTCAAGTATTAGAAATTCAATAAAACATTCGATTCATCATAGATTAATAATCATCTGTGGGTAATCTCAGAATTCAAATTTCATTAAGTATACTCCCCAACCCCAACAAACGTGGTACATAAGAGAAAATAACTACAATATGTTTAAAATCGGGTCAAAAATAAAATCAGTATGAATGGTAATAATCAGTTTCTGTTTCTCATCTTTAACAGGAGAAAAAAATAGAGAAATAAAATTTGGTTATATATTTGGACTTGGTGCTTCATTGTCAAATAAAAATGTGTTTGTTAAAAAAAAAACAAATGTAAACAACCCTCACACACATTAAGTCTTTAAATTAGTAACGGACAAAAGGAGAGAGAGGTTAATAATCATTCCTCCGGGATTAGTCACCCTGGATGATAGATTTTAATAACTAAACAAAATAAATAATTTGACCTTTCGTTTTCAATAAAAAAATAAATAAATAAAAAATAACGACTGAAGTGAAAAAACATCACATTAAAGCCATAAATTAACAGTTTTAATCTTTTTAAAAACTTTTTTATTACTAAGTAATAAATTTTTAACAATACCATGCCGCTGTAAAATCATGTCGCTTCTTGATCTTTTGATTCCAGTTAATTTTTTTTTCGGGGAGGTGGGGGTATTATTATTATTATTATTATTATTATAATAAAACAAAAAGCAGCAATAAAGATTTCTTGATAAAAATTAAAACCCACAATCCTTGATTCACTAACTATATTCAGGATTCAGTTACTTTTTAAAAAGATCGTTATGGGAGTTTGAAAAATAAAAAGACTTTCATCTCTAACTGTTTATTTTAAGTACAATTTCTAAATAAAATTTAAAACAAATAAAAAGATCCCTATTGCAAATCCTTTTAATTTATTAAATATAAATTTAAAAAAAAAAGCAACACAAATTTCTACGCAGTAATGTAATTTCCCCCCTAGAGATACCTGTACAATGAAAAGAAGGAGTTGTGGTGGCACACATACACACACACAGGTGTATGGACGTAATTTCAAATTTAGTAGCGGTTACCTAATAAGCAATATTGTCTGAGTGAAATGTGATCAGTCTAAAAAATAAAAGATAATGAATTTCAATTAAGATAAGTTAAGGTTCTAAGTTTAAAAAAAAAAAAAAAATAGAATAAGAAAACAATTAAAAAATCTGAATAAAAAAAGTTGAATAAATAAATTAAAGAGGGTTGTCTTATTTCTCCAACAAACAGCATATTGGTAGTAGAAATAAATCTGGTTCAAGTGAAAGAGAGCACTCACTCTCTCCGAGAATAATACAATAAAGTGGTTTCTTATTTCAGTATGACTATCTTGAGGAAAAATACTTTTAATAAAAGAAATTTTAAAAATATATAATTTATAATTATAAAACAATGAATTATAGTAAAACCTATGAGCACATTTGTGAGGTTCTTTCTGTATGTCTGCACTACAGACTTGGTCTGGTTCGCCGCGAAAAAGCTAAGCAAGCTACCATGTCAAGTTGTATAGTATAGTATCAGGTATAATAGGAGGTGATGACCGTCTAAACCTTTAGGAACCAGGGACGATACGTCAGCAGTGCCCGTCCCACTTTTTCCCCCCTTTTTTTTTTTTTTTTTTTTTATTCTTAATTGAAACCAAATTAATTTGAACAGATTCGAAATGCAGAGATGGTAATTAAATATAAATGGTTAAAAAAAAAAAAAAAAAAGTTTTAAATAATTGTTTGAATCAAAGAAAAATGTTTTAGATTTCATTTGTTTTAAAAAGCAATGATTTTTGCCTGGCTTGCTTTCGTCGTGCGTATGCACTAGACTCGACAAAGCACTTTCTGGTGGTGGTTACTCAACAACACCGAACCCCTTGGCGCCGAAGAGGAAGGAAAGAAAGAAAGAGGAGGCTTTACGATAAAAGGGTATTTTAAAAAGAAAAATTGCTGCAAGATAACAAAAATATGGGTCGAAAATGATTGTAAAAATTAACATAAAGACGAAATCTTACATAAAATTAAAGATAAAGATTTAATTATAATTTGGATTTGATAAAATAATAATGGATGCAAACACAAAGAAATTTAAAAAAAAATAAAAAATAAAAAAAAAAATAAAAAAAAAACGAAAAATATCAAATTCAAATTTCTCGACTTTTTAAAAATTTTTGGTCACCAGTCAGGGTCCACATTAAATGTCGCTACACTAGGTCAGATTTGTTTTTTTTTTTTGTTTTTTTTTCAAAGCAGAAAAATCAGCCACGTATGAACAAATGTTTCTTTCAATTGAAATATTCTCATGCTTTTTATCAATGTACTGTGCGTTTTTCTTTTAAATTGAAATTAAATACGAATAAAACTATAAGCATGTAAACGTCTTAGACACATTTAACACTGTTGCATGTTGTTGGGTTGTTTAACCATTTCTTCTTTCTTTTCGTACTTGATTCAATTAAATTATATTAATAATAAAACAAATTTCCTTTCCTGTTAGCAATACATGAACAACACGAAAGGCACTTTTTATAAATGTGATTATGATGATGTTGTCACCATAAAATGACAGCGATGAATGAATGAAAAAAGACAAAAGACGGCAGTGTTTAAAAAATTTTAAAAAATGAAGGGAGAGAAGACGAAGGAGATAAATCCAGCACTAAACAAAAACGGTAAAATAATTCAAAACAACAGCGCAACAAACAACAAGTAATCTTTTTTATCCGAATGGATCCAATTAAAAACGGCAGTTTTTTCCTCATACGATTTTCTTTTAAGCACAAAACAAAATAGCAATAAACATTAGTACTGGGACAAATAAATATTTACCTGGAGAAAGTTGCCCCGACCGATTACAGTCTGTGAATCCGGGGGCACTGCAATAGATTCGCCCCCATCAATTGGTCTCAAACTGATGCCAGACATTTCAAAAAATCACCTAAACTCATCCAAGTTAAGCGATATTCAAATCTGTGTTATTGAGACGATGGAGCGTCAGATAAAGGGTGTGAGTTATCTAAAAAAAAGGGAAGCTCGGGTGTCAAGACGCACCACAATGTACATATATGTGGATGATGATGATGATAATAATAATACGTATGGTGATCTGGCCAAAATTCTTCAGACTGCTGGTTGCTCTTCTAGAATCCAGGTCACAATTCCTTCAGAAAGCATTTCGCTACTACTAACCAAACAGCAGTGTCGTGTTGTATGCGGTTTTTTCCAAGGTGAAATTGGAGCTAGTGCAAGTGAATAAGAAGTGAGAAAAAATCCTTGATGCTAAAAAAATACTAAATTATTGGTTCAGAGGCACGCGCATAATATAGAAGCAGTGCGCATTGCATAAAAAAATTCCTTTTTCGTTCTTATTCGAAAACAATTTGTCCTATATAGCCGGCCATGTTTGTTTGGGCTACTGATAGATTTTTGACTTCAGCCACTAGAGAGCCAATTGAGGGACTGCAAAAGTATTTTTTAATTCAAACCCCCAACAAATTTAAACATTTTTCCCTTTATTTATTTTATTTATTTATATACTTTATTTTTACTTTTATAAATCTGGGTAGATGTCCGATTTTTATTATCTGTAAATAAATAAAACAATTACTTCTGTTTTCAATTATAAAGCTGTACCAAAATTAGAATGCAATTAGGATAAAGTTTTAAAACCATAGATAATCCACAGAACTTACGAAAATTCACGAAATGACCAAATAGATTATTTTTTTTTAATCTAAATGAGAATTAAGCTATTATAAAATTAGTATATTTTGTGCTATTGTATTTTAAACATTTGTAATTTTTAGAGAACACTCTTTATATTCGCAAAAATAAAAAAATCTTGATACCCTTTTTAGTTTAAATTAGTATCAAGGGAGATAATCACAACTTTGTTTGATAAGGGGTTTTCAATATTTATCAATTAAGTGATAAGTTATAGTTTTGTTCATTACATCATCAAGGTTTGTGGCCATGTTTACCCTGACCTTCTTGAGACTAGTATTACCAGTCAAGTTACATAAAGGTCAAGTTTTTATTTGAAATGAATGAACTTTATTGGTCCAGTCAATCAAGAATGTTTTTAAGCACAATAATTGTAAGGTTCTGTGTAAGATATAATTTGCATTATTGCAATAAATATATTTTTTAAATTATAACTAATATAACTTATTAATATACAGAAACTATTATTGAATATAAAAATAGTGCAAAATAAGAACAGGAGTGATAAATAACATGTTTTTAATAGTATTTTCTTATAATGTAAAAATGATTAATATTTCTGCTATCACAAGAAAAAGAAAGTTGGAAAAGAAAAGTGAATGGTACATACACTTCATAAATGAAAAAGATTAATTTTTAATTATCTTTAAAAACTTCAAAATTATTACATGTAATTTAAAACTCTGCATGAAACAATTAACATTTTTGCTCCTACAGGTATTAGTGAAAATCTGCTATCATTTCATTTTAAATGTTCTGAGTGGACTTGTATAGTAATTAAAATATCTAGTGTATAAACATTTCATCTGTGTGCAGTGGCCCTTCAGGATTTTGGCAATGATAGCTCTCCACAACTTTCTGTCCTTTGTAGCTTTCAGTAAAGTTGGTCTTCTTTGCTGTCACCCCTACTCCTTATTCTGCCAATCATTTACACAAACTCATTAGGTAGGTTATTCACTAATTTCCTATGTTCCTCTTGCCTTCAATATCATTCTCCAAGCATTCTTTCCTTATTATATGCCAGTTAAATTTCAGTTGTCTCTTTCCGAGTCTAAGTATGTGTCCTTTTTCTTTCCATTTTCCTTAAAATTTTACTGTTGCTAATATATTCAGTCCATAATATTCTCATTATCTTTCTGTAAAACCACATTTGTCACTTCAAGTCCACCAAGTCTTTTCACCTATGAGATGATCCAGCATTCACTGTCATACAGAAGGACTGATATTACTTAACAGTTCAGCACTCTTATTTGTTTCTAACTAAATTTACTTCTTTCTTAACACTTTGCTTAGCTTTTGGAATCCATCTTTGGATTTCAGTATAACATTTTCTGTCCACTGTTAAAACACTGCCTTGATCAGAAGCAGGTTAAAAAGCCACACAAAAGATCAACAAATGTCAGGCTCAAAGAAAAAGCTTTAAAAAATAAAAATCTGAAATAAAATAAATTTGTAGATATAGTAAAAAAATTAATTATCAGATATAAAAAGAGAATTTAACCAATCACTGTTGATTTGAATAAATTCAAAAACTTTTGAGTTTGTATTCCCTGAAAACAGATAATTATGAGATTTTCCAACAGCCAGTCAGTTCATCTACACAGATATATGCCAAGCAAAGTAACTAAAGATCAAAAGATTCACTAACTGTAAATACATACTAGTTTGTCAAAGTCAATATGCTCATACTTTTCCTACTCTAAACTGAGTAAAGATATTTAATAAATGTTTGAAGTTTCTCTATATCAAAAGATGTCTATTTTTGCAAAGATTTAAAATAAGACAATGTACTACAATAATTATATCCAAAGAAAATCATCATGTACATACCTTTACATATAAAAGTTTTGTCATAAAAATGTAAATAAATTGCAGTTTTAAATTTTACTAGTTATTCAGAGTTTATTTACTATATTAATTTTGACTATGACAAGTTACTAACACCACTGCAGACTTAACAAAAGGCAGTAAATAACCAGGCTACTAAGCTTTCATCAAGGAATGATAACTGTTTACATCTTAGGAAAAGAATATAACTGGTAATGGCAGATTGCTTTTTCCAGTGAGCAGACTTCTTGTTTTATATGACTTTTCATTAAAACATTTTGATAAAATTACTCTCAAAACCATTACAAATTCACTAATGATATGAAAAATAACAAAGAATGAAACTCTTGAACAACCAGTGTTAAAGAGAAACTTAAACCAACAAAAAGGATTTGCTTAAGAAATAAAGCAAATATACCACCATGCTTGTCTTGAAGCAAAATGATTGGTCAGTGGCTATTATCCAATTAAAATGAAACAGTTTATGGCTAACATGTCTTAAATATTAACATATGTATGCCTTCAGAATATATAGTAATAAAAACTGTTCTACGGCAACTATTTATTAATTCTAAAGAAGCTGATTAATTATAAGGTTTATTTGAATAAAAAAAATGTTCAGAAATTGTTTTTAACATAAACTGATTTGTTGAGAATTAAATGCCAATTTAAAAGAATTTGCATCTTGAATTTGATTGGATCACTGCAAAAAATTGAGTAAGTTAATTCTTTTTGCTTGTATGATTCTTCACCTAGATGATTTATGTAACTAACATATTCAAAAACATATTTTCTCTTTAATTAGTTCAAAAACTGTACACTAGATAGCATTTTTTCATTTTTTATTTTCAAAAAAGATATTTTATGTATTTTCTCAATAATAACAACAGCTTTAATTTGTGGAGAAAATAATTTATTAGAAAACAAGTGACCTGGGGGACCCTAACAAAATTATTTAACCCCAACAAAATTATTTAGTTTTTATAGGAGACAATCAAATTTACTTAGCTAAGAAAACATAACAAATTTATACATCAAATATTTTTAAAAAAATATATCTAATTACTTACTGCGATGTACACATTTAAAAATCCTCTTTTATTTACTTCAAAAACCCATTTCAATAATTCCAGTAAAAATGATTCTCTTTATATTGAATTCTTTATTTTGCGATTATTGCATTTTACTTTTTTATTTTTTATGTTTTTAATCAAAACTATCACATCATGACCATTTCTTGTGATTACTTTTTTAATCATAAGAGTATAAAATAGAGTATAGTTAAAAGGAGTTTTTAAGAGAGGAGGAGAAGAAAGAATATAAAATCTCTTATCTTGAATATTATGAATGGCGCAAATGAAAGGAAACACAAGACTCTTGCTCCTGTGTTAAAATTGAAATAAATTTAAATTTAGTAAATGACATAAAAAAAATAATAATACAAAATTTACAAAGCAATCTTTCACAAAATTTTCCTTTGTGCTCCTAAAATTTAGGCAAGATAAGTTCTAATTACAATTCTGTGGTACTCATAAAACAATTATAATTATTATCAACAAAAATGTTCACTTACTTCAATTCATTCAACTGTCAAAAGGAGTTAAAAAAAAAGTTGACGATTCACAAACATCATTAGATTTTTGATTTTAGACAATAGTTCAGTTTTACAAAGTGAGATGAAATAAATCTTGTATTTTAATAAAAGTTCAAAATCAGGGTTAATACCTCTAATTTTGTGACAAACTTTCACAAAGTTTAGAAAAATAATCAAATGTCTTTCTAAATTTGTAGAATTTTCTCCTTTCTACCTTTATTTCTTTTTCTTCTGTTATTTTCTTTTCTTTCAGATTCTTTTTCTTTTCTTTTTTTTGTTGGCTTTTGGTTTTTCTATTGTTCTGATCCCTGATCCAGCCAATGTCTTCCTTGTGTATGCTGAAACTTGTCCATTTTCTGCTTTCTTTTTCTTCGCTTAAATTCAGCTCTCAGAACTTGTTGACATCTTTGTGAATGCTGAAATCCTTCTGTCTGACAAACCAGACTTCTTAAATAGCCACAAATTGATTCAAAAATTAAATATTATGGGTTCATAATTTATTACCCCTACTGCTAAAAAAAAGAAAATCACAAAATGTATTTTTAAACTATGCCTGTTTGCAAATTTTATTTCGATGGGTTTTGAGACCATCACAACTCAGTGCCATTTTTTACAAATTTTAAAAAAATAAATTTTGTACATGTATCATCAGGCTTCATTTTGGCAGTTCTTTTACAACATTAATTTGAGCCTCACATATACAAAGTTTTACACATTAAATTTTATTCAAGCCATTTTAGCACATTTTTATTTAAAGAATACATTTTAGTAACTTACTTTT